CCTCAAAATAACTCAACACACAGCCATTAAGATCTAAACTGCTGGCCACAAAAGTGAGTACACGCCTAAGTGAAAATGTCCAAATTGGGCCCAAAGTGTCAATATTTTGTGTGGCCACCATTATTTTCCAGCACTGCCTTAACCCTCTTGGGCATGGAGTTCACCAGAGCTTCACAGGTTGCCACTGGAGTCCTCTTCCACTCCTCCATGACGACATCACTGAGCTGGTGGATGTTAGAGACTTTGCGCTCCTCCACTTTCCGTTTGAGGATGCCCCACAGATGCTCAATAGGGTTTAGGTCTGGAGACATGCTTGGCCAATCCATCCATGGCGAGGCCTGTTCTGAGTGGAACCTGTCCTGTTAAACCACTGTATGGTCTTGGCCACCGTGCTGCAGCTCAGTTTCAGGGTCTTGGCAATCTTCTTATAGCCTACGCCATCTTTATGTAGAGCAGCAATTCTTTTTTTCAGATCCTCAGAGTTCTTTGCCATGAGGTGCCATGTTGAACTTCTAGTGACCAGTATGAGAGAGTGAGAGCGATAACACCAAATTGAACACACCTGCTCCCCATTCACACCTGAGACATTGTAACACTAACGAGTCACATGACACCAGGGAGAGAAGATGGCTAATTGGGCCCAATTTGGACATTTTCACTTAGGGGTGTACTCACTTTTGTGGGCAGCGGTTTAGATATTAATGGCTGTGTGTTGAGTTATTTTGATGGGACAACAAATTTACACTGTTATACAAGCTGTACACTCACTACTTTACATTGTAGCAAAGTGTCATTTCTTCAGTGTTGTCACATGAAAATATATAAATATTTACAAAAATGTGAGGGGTGTGCTCACGTCTGTGAGATACTGTATATGGAATATCTGGCTAAATATCTGGAAGAGTTATCAAGGGTTTTTATTTTGACAGATGGGCTCTTTGGTTCTTTAAAAATGACAAAAGCAAAACATGGCAAGCTAATCTCCGTCTCATCTCAAAGTTTGACACAGTGGAAGACTTCTGGGCGTAAGTGTTAATGAGAGAATTGAAACAGCACAGACACCATGATAGATTCACCAGCCATTGATTAAATAAACAGACTGAGAGTTGTAAGCAACACTGTGGCACTAACAGAGGTTTTGATTCCCCAGGTTATACAATCACATTCAGTTCTCAAGTAACTTAATGTCAGGATGTGACTACTCCCTCTTCAAGGTAAGCCACAATATAGCATTATAACGTTATGCCAAACATTTTGAAATCATCTAAAATGATCTGTGTGCTCTTTTTGGAGCAGGATGGCATTGAGCCCATGTGGGAAGATGAGAGAAACAAGCGGGGCGGTCGCTGGCTGATTACCCTGTCCAAACAGCAGCGTAGAGCCGACCTGGACCGCTTCTGGTTGGAGACGGTAAGTCCATACTCTGTCCAGTCGGTGTAACTGCATTAGCTGCAAAATTGATAGTAGGGTATGTTCTCTCTCTCAATTCTGGTTTTGTTTTCCAGCTTTTGTGCCTTGTGGGAGAATCATTTGATGACCACAGTGACGACGTCTGTGGTGCTGTCGTCAACATCCGAACAAAGGGAGACAAAATAGCAATATGGACAACAGACTACGAGAACAAAGATGCTGTTGTACACATAGGGTAAAAATCGTTTAGTCCACGCAGGCCACTTAAATCTTGTTCTTTCAAGCTCGTGTTCATCTACCTCGATTTTGGAGTGCAACGCCCACAACTCAAAATCCAGTAAACAACCTATGCATAGAACCAAGTCCCAGCCCTACGTTTTTTTTTTCTTTTCCTTTCCGATAATCTGTTACACTTGGATGTATGTCACAATACAGAAGAAAAGATCTGCTGCTACTTGCATTTCATTGTGACTATAATTTTTGCTTTCTTTTCATTTGTGGTTATTAGGTAAAACACTAGGTAGATTATTGCCAACTTTACACTGCAAAGGTGGTGTTTAGGTGGCATTTATTTACCCAGACTGTTTAATGCTGCTCAGAGGTGGAATAAATGTATTTCCACAGCAATTACAACTGTATATGTACTAGCGACTAGCAACTGAGGTGGGTCTGAGCAGGCATAATTTAGTCTGGCTTTTATGCAGCATTGTGCATTAACACTGAATTTTCAGCAGGCACAGAGCAGCCTTAACCCCGAACCTTATGTTACTTCTTGGATCTATCTGTAAATTTGTGCTTTTTTTGTCTATTCACAGGCATGTGTATAAGGAAAGATTAGGTGTGCCTTCGAAAGTCATCATTGGATACCAGTCACATGCAGACACAGCCACCAAAAGTGGTTCCACCACCAAGAATAAGTTTGTTGTTTAAGGAGCCTTTTAAACAGTGAGTATTTTTTTGATAGTTCTTTTAAATTTTTCATATCATTCAATTTATATTAAATATCCTTTCTTAAATTGTTCATGCTATAATTTAATTTCAGATGCTGCAACAGTCTGAATCTTTATCAAATTCCGATCTTCATCAGAAGAGACAGACAAACAAAAACAAAAGTCCTGGGATCTGACCTTTCACACAATGTTGTGGGGGAAATTAAAAGCCTTCAGATTAGTATATAGAAGGATTTAATCAGAGGAATATTGTATTTACAAAACTGTACAGTGTATAAAAACAGAGCCATGTTCTATTTTTTTTTTTTTTAAATGTCAGTGTACTATTAACTGATCTTTTGCTGGTGGGGATGGGAAGTGTATTCAGTTAAATTATGAATATTTTTCTTTCATATTCTGTTTGCCTTTTTATGTTGGGTTGCAGTTACTAAATCTTAAGTGTAATTTATTTATTTTTTACTTACACATGTTTCTTCTTTGGATTCAGTGTTTGAGTGATTTGGACAGTAAACTGATCATGACATTTCTAATTACACTATTCAAATAATTCTTGTATTGCAGCTTGAGAATGTCAAAGGTTGATTCTGTTCAAAGACTGTTGTATACATGTGTATTTTTGCAGTCTTGTTTTACATTCCTCATGTGAAATGTTCAAGGCCGTATTGAGAAAACTGATCTCCGGTTCTCACCTTTTCCTAAGGAGTTTAATTGAGTTGCCTGACTTTGTAACAAATAAAATGTACAGTGCATTGTCTATATCCAGTGAAGAGGCTCTGAAATTCATCTGTTGATGATAAATAAATAATCTGCTCTGAGATTCTTGAGATGTGAGAACTATTTTCTCAATCCAGTAAGTTAGCTTAACCCTTTAGCTAAATTTATGAGCTTCCCTTTGCTCATAAATTCAGTCTAATGTCCTTTGTTAATCATCTATGATAAATAAAAGTCAGTTTTGGTTAAAAAGTTAGTTTTGCAAGAACAAGTTTTAAGTTTACTGTATACATTATCTTAATACCAACTATACAACTTTAGTATTGGAAATTAATGAAAAATGCTCAGCAAAATTGCATTAATGTTGCGTTTGTTAGAGAATGCCAAAGTATTCACACTGTGCTGTACACTAATGCCAAGTTGTATATTAGATTAAAAATAAATATGATTTCTTTGCATTATTCTTGACCACGAAAATACTTAAGGCGATTAAAAAAAGACTTGTGCCACTAGTTCGTCATTCCTACTCTTTCAATTGTTCTTGAGGCCAATTTCTGATACCATCCTGATCCGGATTGCCTACAGACTGGGTTGGATCTTCCTCCACAGGCTCAAGATGATGATCCAAAATACTCTCAGATAACACAGAAGGTGTCCTGCTCCGGGCATGTCTGGGTCTATCCTCCTGGAAATGCGACAGGCCTTTGGTATGATAACTAGGGCTGGGGCTGGCAGAGGACAGGGTTCTCTGGCTCCCATTTAGGTAACTACCATAGTTCACAGAGTCCTTTGAGTCCTGCCGTGAGTAGAAGGAGTTGATGTGCGCACCCTGGTAGTTGTACGCTCTCCAACCTGGCCGTCTCCTGTGGTGACATCTGCATTTCAGGATGCGGATGAAAGGCTGCAGGTTGACATTGAATGCGACTGCAAAGAGAGAGAGTACATTGGTGAGGTTAAGTTTTATACATTAATATTGTGACATCATGTTATGAGTTATTCAAATTACAAACTAGATTTACATAGTACTTTTAATAAAAAAAAATTTGAATTTGGCCATCTCCAGAGAAAGTCTAAGCTATGAAGTGTATTCCTGAGAAACCTTATAGGTTAAATTTTCTGTGATGCTGTGTGGGGCCCTGAACAAACCATAACACGTGGGCTTCCTTTTTTCTCTCATATAACACTGCATGATTGGTGCGCCCCCTGCTGTCACAATTCGTGATTGTTTGTGACTGTGCCCCCCCTTGTCGGTACAACTGTTTTTTTTTAAAGGTCTGTCATTTGCTTAAGCATCCAGCAGGTGGCAACAGCGCTTGTTTATCAATTTTTCTGCTTATTGCAAATTTGTGTTAAAACTGAAAATAAAAATCTACCGGATGCCAGATGTGCACAGCATTTACAAACAGAACAAAGGCAGCATAAAAACAAACGTTTAAATTAATATATGTTTTAGAATTTATGTAAATAATTGATTTGTTTTTATTTTACTGAGGTATTGGAAATAAAACGAGAAAAGTGAATTTAAAACTAAATACCAACTGTTGTATTCCTACGGGATAACACTATGTACTAATGAAATAATCGAAGTTAATACTATAGTGAACTTTTGAAACCGTACAGATAATGTTTATGTTTTTCTTTGAAGGGAACTTGGAAGAAAGGGCATGTGATGCATTATATACTGGTGTTCTGAAATAACATTTCGAAATATTTTACAATTGTCGGAATTTCTAATAATTAAATTAAATGCAGTCACTTCACAAAGTGTCTGATTGTTTAGACATGTTTGACATATCTATAAAATTAACTAAAATTATTTACATCCTTTCAACCAGTTCTCAAAACAAACTTACATAATAATGCAAACAAAATGCAAATTGATATTCAGTCTAAACATGTTTTAATCACTTAATCTATAACCAAATTAACAATAGTTTTTTTTTTTCAGAAGCTATATGAAAGTTATTGAGTTTAGTATCCAAGTGATTATCTAATAAGCAGAGTTAAATACATCATCATTCAGGCCTTTTGCCCAGTTGATATATGAATGTGTGAAAGCCTGAAGCAGTTGTGAATTAATAACCTGAATATGAAATGCTTATTCTGTTTATTATAACATTTAGCAATATTTGTAGAAAAGTTAGTTTATCCCCTTTTTCATTCAATTTCAGTGGTAGAGCTGTGGATCTGTGCCATTAATTGCTTTAGACTGAGATCCCTGGTGTATAAAGCGGAGGCCTCAAAGCTGCAGCCCTAGTGCATTGACCCACTGCATTCAAAGTACCATGGAAACCATACGAGACTTGGCTGAAAAGAAAACAAATTCATGAATGAAGACCAAACGAGTATAAGTGACAAAGATCTATAAGAAGGCTTTAACGTTTTAAAATAAGTGTAACGAATCAGCTCACAACAGGAAATATGAATAACTAACCATAACTAGTTATAATTAACTATTCATATTTTAGATCCGCTGTAGATATTTAGTTGACCTCTCAGGGTCAACTGTCTTGTCAATTCTAAGAACATTAATTTCCTGGTTAAGGGAAATAACTTTCTTACTGTACAATTCTACAAAGCTTGTAGCATAAATCTGCATGATTAGTGACTCCGGTTATGAGCAAACAATGAACACGTCAAGTGTGATACAAGTAAGGTTTTATTAACTACATAAACACTTAAACTAGTCCAACATACTACATAAACACATAAACTGGTCTAACATCCTACATAAACACATAAACTGGTCTAACATCCTACATAAACACATAAACTGGTCTAACATACACATACACACACACACACACACACACACACACACATACAGTTGGTATAGGAAAGGGTTAAAGTTTAACTCAGTACAGAAAGAGAGAAAGAGA